GTTTCCATGGCAATGGTGGTGCTTCGGGCATGGATGGAACTTTGGGCAGCGAGGGATGGGATGTGCTATGAGAGCGGGTTGATGGTTCCAATGTGCTGMGGCTTCATCGCTGCGTCCACWATGATTGGCGCGATRATCATGTATCATTGGGTCAGGTCGYCGATATTCCTGTTGYTGTACGTAAGCCCTTCACGGGATCGGATACCAACTTGATCAGCCATATGGCGTGACCAAGAATGGTCAGCACCAAGGATAGTCAAATRCAAATCGAAGAGTCGGGGAAATGGTGATCACCGAGTATGAGTGAAAAAGAGAGAAGGGGACAATCCTGCATGACATTCATATTTTCACAGGGATTGACGAAGTCAGTAATGAGTCGTGTATGAGGCGAGAGGGGAATGCTTGATAAGGTGGTGATGTGTTCTGATYGGATTGGAAGTTTGTATGCGGATAGGATAGCTGTTTTTCCTTGTTTTGTGTGTGAGTAATGATGTAGGATTCGACRCGCTTGCGGTACCTTCATGTTTTTGAAATCTCGCAATTGAGTGTTGGGTAGATAATTGCTGGGAATTGATCAGCTTCTTCCTAGCATATGGCAACATACGAGGGAATGATCACTGAGCAATCAGGTGTATATATATGTATGATACTCATGGCAGAGTAGTATATACACCGGAAAGTTGGTCCATATAGGATATATGGCAACCATCTTTATTCGATTATCTGGCTGAGCACTATGCACTGTTTTTTATTTTCCCGGATTGTTTTTGAAAGAAACCCTGTCCTTAGCTCTAATGGATAGTTCATAGTTCCTTGTCCATGTGTTCAAGTGGTGATGATCTAGCGCAGGAGCATGGTTAGCGGATTCACGGATCGTAATAATGAGGAAGCATAGCTTGAAGAATTCCCATCTTTCATCATGCTGGAGCGTAATACGAGGATGAGCGCAGGGAGAATGCGTAACTGGAGTGGAGGTTGTTAATTACGCATGGGTACTCGGGTAAATGAAAGAAAAATTCTGAGAAGGATGTGCAGTAGAGGGTAATTGGTTGAGGAATCAGAATGAGATACATAATATTAGATAGGTGTGATTGTCTTTTTCGCAAAACTGATGTAATTGGTGAATGTGAAATAAGTAAGCCACATAGGATAGTGTAATGAGTAGTTAGGTGGTAGCAATCATGTTACATACGATCGGTTGTGATGGAGTCTGTTCTTCAGAATACTTGACCTTGTGTATTGTGTCGAAGAATTTTTCCTGCTTTCTCGTGTGATTTGTATTAATAAAACGGATGAATGGGTTTTAACTTTTAAGGTATATTCATTGATCGCGGATGAATATTTTCGATGGGTTTTTTCTTGCTTTCACGTGAAAGATTGAATTTATGTGATTAAACGAATGAATGGGATTTGATATGTGATCGATGGTCGCGACTTTACTCATTCGCTTATACCTGGGTCGTACCGTGGGATGTGGTTACTCTTTGTATAACTCTTCTTCCACGTATATAAGTTTTTCTATTCAATAATAAGGTTTACTTTTTCCCGTACTAACTGAGATACATCGCGAAAAAACCTCAAATGCACGAAATCTTATCTCCTGATGTAAACTCTATGAATGTTTTTCCCGCGCGTACAACACAAAAAATATAAGTGTATATCGGATGATTGAATTCAATGCAACCCCTGGGGATTTAGTTTCGTGTTTCTGAATAGCCATAGTACAAGGATCTGTTGTATTTACGAAGGCGTATTGTTTTATGGTTTGCTGCGCTGTTTAAGTGCAGTAGCTCCCTGTTTACTCAAAACACACACACACACACACACACACACACACACACACACACACACACGTGCGTGCGCTCACCTTCGCACAATAGGCCAACCAACTCCCAACGCAGGGGATCCCCGGCGAACGCGAAGGCCGTGAAGCCGAATGCCAACTCCAACCAGCGAATGGGACGGGACTGACTGCTGCACCACTTCGAATTCGAATTCCTGCTGCACCACTTCGAATTCGAATTCCTGCCGCCACTGCTGCAAGGGCGTAACTGAAAGATGCATGCCCCTTGTGAGGGCATTTCCAGGATGGACTGACAAAACGCCACCAGCGGTTTAATAAGGACATAGTGGAAAGTTATGCCCCATGCTGACAGGGGCCTGCGGAAAACTTCAGAGGCCCCAGGGGCACGACAGGGTAAGTCGGCCGTCAGAGGGGTATGCTGCAGATTCATCCAAACTTTAGGGGCATTTCGGAACTTTTCCCACCATTTTTTTTTCCACGGCCTATAGCTGGGCCAAGTACTGGTGGTTTCACAACCGGGTCGTGGCCGTCTCCATCCGAACGGTGGGACTGGTATATGTGCCAAATGTACGCTCGGCGATACACCCGCTGTCCTGGCTGCGGCCCCATGCCCTCAGTGACCGGAGGGACGGCAGCTGGACCTGCAGGGGCCAAGTCCCTCCAGCTGCGTCTTGTTTCCTCAACGCCTGAATCTGGACGTGATTGTGGAGTTGTGCGGTTGAGGAAATTCAACACGATTTCTGCACATCTCCACAAACATTTCCAGATTCGGGCGTTGAGGAAACGCGATTGAGCGCTCGTCGTTATTGCCCGGAAACAGGAACAAGCGGCTTCAATGCTGAACGGTTCAAGGTAGATTGTCAGCGTTGGTAAACGGCATGTCGCACAATTGTCTAGCGACAACCAGGTGTCGCACGTTGGTTCGTGCAGCGAAAGCCATTTGTCGCACATTGGTTGTGGCAACGAAATCGAGGCGTCGCACAGTTGTTGGCGCAGGGAAAACGACGTGGACACAGTGTGGATGACCGCAGTCGGAAGGCACGTGTCGTACAGTCGGGGCCCACGACAACGGCGAAGTTGTCGCACAGCAGCTGAGGACGAAGGCGAAGTCGTCGCACACTCTTTTGCGACGAGGGCGAAGTTATCCGGCAATATGCGCGCAGAGCGGCATAGGGGTGTGGAAGTGGGCGACGGGGTCGCACACGTGGGATTATCGGGCTCTGGGTTTGGGCCTTTGCTGGTAGGAGAGAGGGGAAGGGTGCGCAGGGAGTGCTGCGTGAGGGATCTTCTCTTGTGAATGCTACATTGGCATTGCCATCTTGAAATTTGGGGTCGGGGTTGGGTTTGGGTTTGGGTTTGAGAAGGGAATCCGAACCGGAGTGCCGAAGCTATGATCCGTGCCGCACACCGGAGCTCGCCTACCGTATCTTGTAAGAGGCTGGAGGGAGAAGGAGATCGGCGAAGCCATCAATCGATCAGTTGATGACCTAATTTTCAGCACGGGACCAACGAACCGTGTTCCACAAGCAAGTGAGGGAAAGAGAAAGCGGGGGCGAAAGGAGAGGAGGAGAAGGGAGAGGAGGCAAAGGAGAGGAGGAAAGGGGAGCGGAGGAGAGGGGGGCCGGTGTTCGGTTTCATCAGAGGAGATGGCGGTGGAGGGCTGGGTGTGGGAGGTGCGCAGTCGAAAGCTGGGCAGACAGGCATGCCTGCTCCTCTATCTTGTGCTGCAAGGAAAACGTGTACTCGCCTATAAGAAGAAGGTGAGAGAACACGAACCGGCACACGCGCATCCGCACATGCATCGGCGCAACCAACGTGCACGTGCATGTAGAGAGGCGACAAGAACATGCACACGTGCACTTACGCATGCACCCACCTGCATGTGCACGTGCGGCTTTAGAGAGGCGCACGCACGACAAGACGAATTTTTAAGAGAACGCACTCGCTCATATTAACACACCTTCTCGGGAAGGAATGCAAGTGGAATGCTCGACGAAACAGCCTGTTGCAGTCGCCCTTTCCTGTGGGGCAATTGTATTTACCGAATAGACAACACACGAGCGCACGTGCGCGCACACACACCCACACACATCACACACACACACACACACACGCACACACACACACACACACACACACACACACGCTGTCGAAATTCAACCCTCGTGTGCTGGGGAGTCGGTGAAAGTTCGACGAAACAGTGGTTCATAGCTGGGTGTATCTGACCGATTCTACGGCGCAGGATGAATTCACATAGTCGCCCTTTCTTCTAAGGACTTGTCTTTGGGGAATACCGAACAATGGGCCTGGCTCCACTACTCACCACATGCACAAAAGATAAAAAGTATGGCGGTGCATCTTTCCACTCTCTAGCGTAAGATTCCTTCTCATTTTGCACATTTGGTGAGTAGTGGAGCGAGGCCCTATCGTATACACGCACACGAGCAGCTCGCTCGGGCGCGCGCTCGGTAGCTAACATGACAGTATGCTTTGAGGGCTTTTTGTGAAAAGCCCTCAAGCAGAGAGGGCTTTTTGTGAAAATTCAAAACAAGAAAAAAAGAGAACCCAGCCCACGTGGCTGAATTGTACACATACTTAGAAAAATAAAGGACTTGTACACATGTATGTCTGTAAACAGATGACCATGACTTCGAATCCTGTGACGCTCAGATGTACACATTACCCTAATACTGTTAGGGAAACCGCCTTTTTTTCCTTAACCAAAAAAATAAAGCTAGAGGAAAACAAAGTGACGGGGTGAGAGAAAGAAAAAAGGCCCTCCCCGTTCTGTTATGTAGCAATGTCCCTCCTTGGGCAAGGTCCCACTTGCACGGAACAATAGATTTGGGTCGTTGATCTTCACTATATTGCTCTGTCAACTCTGCTCCTCTTCAGTCCATCCTGCGCCCGACATAATCACTTGTGTGTTTACCTAAAGAGCGTGGAGTGTGGACCCTTGTGCTTCCCGTCCTTGTGTTTTTTTCATCCAGATCTGCATCAGAACCTCCTTTACCATCGCAGACCTGAATAACGGATGTTGTAGACTGTTGTCTGAACTTATCTCTAACTTCAGCCCTTTTTTTGGTATCCAATATATAGACCATCTATCCTGAAGGGCATATATGGACAATCTATCCTCAAGAGCTTTCCGTTTTCTCTTTTCCACTGCCCCTATTCAATTTCGATTTCGAAGTGAAGTCTCTATGATTAAGCACCCGCTTCTGAAAGAATTTTCACTAATTGTGCTACGGTCGAACGATTGTGAGCAATTGCTACATGGTAAAAAATAGGAAAAAAAAAAATGAAGTAAAACGAAACAAGAGAGAAAGCGGCAAAAGAAGAAGAAGAAGAAAAAAAAACAGAAAAAGGAAAGACAGAACAGCTGCAGAAAAAAATGATAGCAATGACATCGGGAACAGCGGCAACTACCGCGCGCGCGCGTGCGCGTGTGTCCTCTGTGTTTGTTTGAGATCATAATGAAAAAAAAAAAAAAAAAAAAGGATGCCCCAGCCTCTGGCAGGAGGCAGTAGGTGCTGCATTTCACGAAATATACACAGTAGTATTCCGCTTTGCAATACCATATGAGTGAGGGCATCGCCACACCACTCTCGAAATGTGCAAAATGAGAATGACCTTACTGCTAGAACGTAGCCAGATGCACCCGCCATGGTTTTGTCTTTTTCGCATTTCGAAAGTGGTGTTGCAAGGCTCTAAGTGACTGGTGAACACTGAACATAAATAAAAGCCAATTTGACATTAAGGTGCACTGAACAGTGTAACAGGCAATTTGACGCGAAGGTGTTAATGGATGGGGAGGGCATGGAAATGTGGGAGAGAGGATGTTCTGATGCCCGGGGGTTGTCAATCGGTCAATCGGTCAACGGCCGGGGGAAACAGGCGCTGGTCGGGAAGATCAAGGGATATGAAAATGATTGTGAAAGGGGGCCTCCGTAAATATGATGTCAAGCCGATTCCATCCATCGTGGGAGATAGGATCTATTCTGGAAGATCAAGGGGGACGAGGACACACATAACTATCTGTTCTTAAGATAACCTCCCCCTTTTCAATGTTCAGCCAAACATCACTGTCGCCTCTGCATTTGTGCATGCATGCATGCGTTCCTCTGCGTGCGTGTGTGTGTGTGTGTGTGTGTGTGTGTGTGTGCGTGTTTGTGTCTGTGTGTGTGTGTGTGTG